CCCCCAAAAAAAAATCTTAAAAAAATAAATAAATAAATGTGGCAAGGGTCAAAGCTGCATTTTCCTTTAAGATTTTAGGAAGAACAGGATGGAGCAAAAAGAGTGGGGGAATTTCTTGACCCAGTAATTAAGAAGGGAAACATCAATGTTTCAAATACTACAATGATGTAAGGAATGAATATAATGAGAAACAGCTATCAACATGACAGTTAATGCAACTTGGATATGTTTTTTTTATTTGTTGGTTTTAGTTTGATTTTCACCAAGCCCATATTAGATGCAGAAAGGCACCTTTGCCATGATCATTGTCCCAAAGGAGTTAAAAATTGTACAGGGAAGAAAGACCTAAGTAACAATGCAGGGTAAGAAGTGATGTGTACATGTAGCACAATATGGTTGAAGTGTTATCTGGATTCACTCAAGGGAGAGGCTGCTTACCTCTTAGGGATCAGGGAAAACCTCTGGAGGATGTGACATCAGAAATGGACTTGAAGGTTGAGTACTACTGAACAAATGAAGATTACAAGAAAGGTACTCCACATAGTGTTACAGAAATTAAATTAGCTTGCATTAACAAATGATTATAATGCAGAAACAGGGGGCAAAAATAAGTGGAGAGTAGAAAACACGACATCATTCTGCTGTTCTAGACTCCTGGCTCTTGGGTTCTCATTACAATGAGAAAGGCAGGGTGAGGAATCTCATGGGATGTCTTGATATGAGCTGAGAAAGAAGAGAAATGGGAGAAAACTTTAGATAAGTGGGAGGTGGTAATTGAGAATGAGAGGGAGTGGTCAAGAGACAAAAGCTAAGAGAAGTAAAAATGAGAATAAGAAATTGGGAGGCAAAGAGAAAATACAAAGAACTCACCAGCGCTTCTTAAACCATAATGCAAGGAGTATCAAAAGCACTAGGGGCACTATCACTGCCAACACTATCAAGGTCATTGAAAGGTGATGTCCTGTGAATATTGGAGAGACACACGGATGTCATTTTAAACCCAATGCCAATTTTACTTCATTTGCTGATTTTCCCACCTTAACATGTGCATAGGGTATGAGTCCCATAAACCATCCTATTTAGTTAGTCTATTCCCATCCCTGCTAAGCGATGGGTTCCTCATCCCCTTCAAATCTCTTACATCTAAATGCCATTCATGTTTTATTTCTCCATTGCTGGAATTACCTGTATTCATTTTTTTCTTGATATCTCTCTCACCTAGTTCTTGCATCATGAAACTTTCCTCTGCACTACCCTCTAGGCTCAAGAATCACCTTCTCACACTTATAGATCCAATCATACTCACCCCAGTAGAGAATGATGTCCTGGTCCCCTAGACTGCTGTGCCTCACCTGGCAAGACAGGCCAGCTGCCTCCTTAGCCTCCACATTTAGAGTCACCCGAAGATACCATGTCCCATCAACATTAGGCCAGACTTCACCTCGCTGAGTGCCTGGCTGTTCCTGGTCACCTCGCATCCACATCACCCAGATAGGCTTTGGGTAGAAGCCAGAGACATGACAAACCAGAAGTAGCTGGCTAGACTCAAGGATGGGGCTACTGGACAGCCAGGCCTCTGGCCTCACTGCAGAGAGAGTAAAACATATTCAGAGGAGGACTCTAACAAAACAGCTTGGAGACAAATTATCCACATTAATATGCATATATTATTAGTCTCCTCTAGGAATATTGTGCCCAGTAACCCCTCACCCTCTTGAACACTTTCTTACCCTAACTTTGAAGGGAATAGTGGGAAGGGGCAAGACTTGTATGTAAAAATCTTAGAGAAAAGTGTTGAACTAACCTTGTCTCTGGAGATCCATCTTTCCTGCATAGAGGAGACCCAACAGAAATCGGGGGCAGGTGTTGCTGATGAGCCTGTATACTGTTTCCTTGATGCCTTCATACTGATTGAGTAGATGGCAGGCATTCTCAGCCCTACTCTCACCCTTTGGAGATGGCACCCATGACATGTTTTGGAAACTCAGGAAATCTGATCCTTGATAAGCTACCTGGACGAAACCTTTTGCAGTGTCTCTAGAAAGTAGCTCACAGCCTCCTGTTAACTGAATTTCAAAGGGATCTGGGAAGAAGGAAAAAGAAGAAAGAGAGATTAATGAAAAAATGAGAGAAAATATATAAAGGTATTCAAAGGAGGACTCTGAAAATGAGAGAAACTATATAAGAACCTAGGGCCTTATAAAAAAGTGGAGCAAAAAGAAGATTTTATATGGCTGCAGAATGAGCCAAAGACATATTTGATCAGAAACAAGGAAGAGAAAAATTGGCAAGATGGGGAAGGAAGCATAAGAGATAAATGCTAAGAATTAAGAGTTTGATTTGAATAAATTTGGGGACATGATGGGGAGGTGCATGATATAGGTTGAGGGGCATGGGGAGAAATCCATGTGAAGGAAATGGAAGTACCTGTTTCCAGGGTGCATTAAATGGGTCATAATTGTTGTTGGACTATGGATATACACCTTTTGATAGAGAAAGAGATCAGATATTTAAGGGAATCAAGCACAGGGTTGCACAACTGTGTGCATCTGGGTTTTAAGCCATAGAAGGGGGGCCTCTGGGGAAAGATTTTTTTTGAAAGATTTTTTTAAAGCATAAGAAAAGAGCAGTCCAGAAGAAGCAAGAGTCTAGGAAATCTTGGGCCGGCCGAGTGGCGTGATGGTTAAGAACTGGCTTGGGATGCCAGAGGGCCCCGGTTCAGATCCCACATATGAGGGCCAGTGACACTGCCCTCCACNTAAGATGGTGACCCCTTCTACTCCTTTGGAAACAAAATATTTTACTGATTAAGCCCCATTCTTCTTAGGTACCGCCTACTCTTGAATTTAAAGAAGATGGTGGGAAGTGAAATAGAAAAGTTTTGGAGAGAGAATAGGACTAACCTTGCCTCTGCAGTTCTGTCTTCCCTGCATCGAGGACACCAAGGAGATATCGAGGGCAGGTTTTCAAAAGGAGCTTCTCTACGGTATCTACGATACCTTGGTACTGAGTGAGGAGTGTGCAGAACCGCTGTGCCCTGCTGCCACCCTCTGGGGCAGGCATACATGAATCATTCTTGAGGCTCAGGAAATCCAGTCCTCCTAAAGCTCCCCTCAAAAAGCTTACTATGGTCTCCTCAGAATGCAGCTCACAGCCTGCTATGCCCTGGATTTCAAAGGGGTCTGGATAGAAGGAAAACAGAGCAAAGGTTATCAAAAAGCAAACAAGAAAGAAAGGGGTGGGGAAAGGACCTAGGGTGTTGGATATTGGTGGGGAGAAATGTCTGAAATGTAAAATGGTGAGCCAACAACTAATTCAGTACCTCATGTGCCACGTAATGACATTTCAGTCAACAACAACCCACGTATGCGATGGTGGTCCTGTGAGATTATAATAGCCATCATAACACCATAGCACATCACATTAATCACATGTTTGTGGTATTGCTGGTATAAACAAACTTACTGTGCTGCCAAACATATAAAAGTATAGCACATACAATATGTACAGTACATAAAACTTGATAATGATAATAAATGACTATGTTACTGGTTTACATATTTACTTTTTATTGTCATTTACTATAAAGAGTGTACTCTTGCTACTTATAGAAAAAGAACTTTGCTGTAAAACAGTATGCTGTGTTACACAGGCAGCAGCCTCTTACGTTTCGTGCTTATAGTATCTCTCGTTGCATCATTTTCTCTTGCATTTGATTTAATCCCATGTTGTTTGTACAATAACGTGCTGGACAGATTTGTGGCCTAGGAGCNCCAAGCCAGTTCTTAACCGTTGCGCCACTCGGCCGGCCCAGGAGAATTTTTATTAAGTGTGTAATGCCAGTAATCTTATTGGTATTGAACTCTAAATGAAGTGGCCTTACTCACTGTTAAAAACTGATTACTTGTGTTCCTCCAAAATTCTTATATTGAACTCTTATTTGGAGATGGGGCCTCTAAGAAAGTAATTAAGCTTAAATGAGGTCCTAAGAATGGGGCCTTATACGAAGAGACACCAGAGAGAGGGCTTTGTCTCTCTCTCTCTCTCTCTCTCTCTCTTTCTCTGTCTCTTTGTCTCTCTCTGTCTCTCTGTCTCTCTCTGTCTCTCTCCCCCCCGCCACCTCCCCCCCACACACACACACACACATGCATGGAGGGAAGGTCATGTGACGACAAGTCAAGAAGGCAACTTTCTGCAAGCCAGGAAGAGAGGCTTCACAAGAAACCAAATTGTCTTGGCCTTGTAGTCTCAAGAACTGTGAAAAAATAAATGTCTGGCTTAATCCCCCCAGTCCTTGGTATTTTGTTAGAGCAGCCTGGGCAGGCTAATACACTGACTTAGTTCCGGAAATGCTGGGACATCCCTAACTCTCCCCACCTGAGGCCCTGTTCCTGTGAGAATCAGGGCATTAAGGAGGAGACCAGAACTGACACTCCTGAGAGCAGCTTGGCTCCAGAGATAAAGGATGAGAAGATGTTGAGACAAATTACGTATCCACCTTTTTTCCTGTACTCACCACTGAGATACTTCATTCTATTTTCATGGGAAAGAATAAGGAATAAGGAAAGAAACGAAAAGGTTTTAGGGAAAATTCTCCTTCAGGGGAACTAGAAGAATAGGTATTAGCTCCATTCCATGATACTCATGCAACTATTGAAACAGAAACCTAGAAACCTGCATTCTTTGGAAACTTAAATCTCTTTTACTTTCTACAGTCACCATGTCACCATATCATTTCTCTCCATAATTTGTAAAATCTATCTCTTTCTCTCTATCCTCACAGACATTTAGTTGTAGATGAAAACAAAGTTCTATGGACAGTAACCTCACAGGGTGATCTGATCATAAATTTCTAACTGGGCAGGTCATGGTGGGTAGTCACACCCCAAGCATATAACTTTCTATTAAAATGTTTGTCTTTGTTTTAAACAAGCCCTGTCCATTGTTTCTGTGCATCTAGGTAAACACATCTTTGACAAAAGCTTAACAGAGTTGGCTGAGTGGCGCATTGGTTAAGAGTTGGCTTGAGACACCAGCTCTGAGCAGCAGGACCCTGGTTCGGATCCTACATTAGGGCCAGAGACACTGCGCCCTCTACAGCTAAGATGGTGAACAACAGCGTGACCTGGAGCTAGGCTGCCGTGAGTTGCCAGCATAGGCTGCAGCAGGGCTGTGTGGGAGGCCGTGAGCTATGGTGAGTGGCTGGCAGCCAGCATGAGCTGCCAAGAGCCTCCATGAGTGGCTGTCCAATGGCCGGCGACCTATCTGCCTCAGCCGGGAAGAGCACAATGATAATACCAACATGGGCCAGTGAAGTGACGTCTTCCACAACTAGAGTGAAGAACAAAAAGAACAGCAACTTTTCTGTTCCCCTTCCCTGGTTCCTCAATAAAATCTTTAAAAAAAAAAAAGAAAAGAAAGAAAGAAAGAAGCTTAACCTCAAGAAAGCATATAATCTTGTTAACTATCCTATAATCCAACCCCCACCTGGCTTTCTCCCACATCCTTATAGTCTTTCTTACTTTCCCTCCTTAATTTCAAATGCATAAAAGAAACTGCAAAAATGTTATTCGCCAGAGCATTTGAGATCTTGTTCCCTGGCATATGCCATCAGTTTTGTTTATATAAACTCTTATACAACTTCTCTACAGGTTTGAACACTTCTTTTCTTTTTTTTTTTTAATTGGGGAATTTGGGGAGGGGAACAGTGTTGGGGAACTGGAGAGCAGGACCAGCCAAGTTTTTGTTCTTCAATCTGAGTTATGGAGGGCACCAGTCACCATCTGGCTGTCTTTTGGCACCTTGTGGCCTCTAAGCTCAAGGTGCTGTGTTACAATCTTAGTTGTGGGTGGGCATAGCCACCATCCCATGTGGGAGTCGAACCAGCAGCCTTGTTGTTAAGAACTCACACTCTATTCACTGAGCCATCTGGGCAACAGCTCAGCCCAAGGTGCTGAGTTCAGTCTTAGTTGCGGGTAGGCATAGCCACCATCAATTGCGGATGGGGGTCAAACTGGCAGTCTTGTTGTTAAAAGCACATGCTCTATCCACTGAGCCATCTGTTGGCCGCTCAGCTCAAGTGCCAAGTTTAGTCTTAGTTGTGGACGGGCATAGCCCACCATCAAACAGGCAGTCTTGTTGTTAGGAACACATGCTCTCACCAGCTGAGCCATCCTGCGGCAGCTCAGCTCGGGCGCAGAGTCACTGGCCCATGTGGAAATCGAACCGGTAGCCCTGTTGCTCAGAGCTCGTGCTCTTAAGCTAACTCTTAACCAACTGAGCCACTCAGCCGGCCCTGGACACTTCTTATGTCAACATTATGTGTGACCTGGATTACTGTCACATCCCTTAGATGTACATTGCAATCCAAATCCTCTTCGTATCTATTCAGCACTCTACTTCAGAATTGCTATCCAACACATAAAATATAAATTCCATGATGTCAGGATCATGCTTAAAACATTTCAACTACTTTTATGAAAAATAATCCAAACTCCTAAGTATGTCAGTTTTATACACAAAGGTTCATACATCTTTTTTTAAATTAGTTTCAGGTGTACAAAACAATGCAATAGTTAGACATTTACACCCCTCACAAAGTGATAACCTCCCACACCTAATCTACTATCCCTCTGACATTGCATATAGCTATTACAATTCCATTGACTCTAATCCCTATGCTGTACTCCACATCCTGCGACTATATATACATTAAAATATAGTTGACATTCATTATTATTCAGTTTCAGCTTCAGGTGTACAGAGCAGTGGTTGGTCAGGCATCTATACCGTCCATGAAGTGGTTTCCTTAATAAGACAAGTGTCCATCGGATACCCTACAAAATCTTTACATTATTGATTATATTCCCCAAATTGTCTTTCGTATCCCCATGGCAATATTGTGGTTACCAATTTGTGCTTTCTAATCCCCTCACCTTCTCCCTCATCCCCACCCCTCTCCCATCTAGCAACCCTCAGTTTTTTCTCTAAATCTCTGAGACTGTTTCTGATTAGTTTGTTCATTTATTCTATTCTTTAGATTTCACATATGAGTGAGATCATATGGTATTTATCTTTCTCCATCTGACTTATTTCACTTAGCATAATGTTCTCTAGGTCCATTCATATTGTTGCAAATGGTAAGATTTCATTCTTCTTTATGGCTACTACTCCATTGTATAAACGTACCACAGTTTCTTAATCCAGTCGTTTACCGATTGGCACTTTGGTTGTTTCCATGTCTTGGTTATTGTGAATAGTGCTGCAATGAACATAGGGGTGCATCAATTTTTTTGAATTAGCGTTTGGTATTTCTCTGGATAGATACCTAAGAGTGAAATTGTTGGATTTTGAGATACCTCTATACTGATTTCCAAAGTGGTTGCACCAATCTGCAACCCCACCAGCCGTGCACGAGGGATACCTTTTCTCCACATCCTCACCAGAACTTGTTGTTTGTTGATGTATTGATGACAGCCATTCTGACTGCAGTGAGGTGGTATCTCATTGTAGTTTTTATTTGCATTTCTCTAATGATTAATGAGATTGAGCATTTTTTATATGTCTGTTTGCCATCTGTATGTCCTCTTTAGAAAAATGTCTCTTCAGGTCCTCTGCCCATTTTTAAATTGAGTTGTTTGTTTTTTTGGTGTTGAGTTCAATGAGATTTTATAAACTTTGGATATTAACTCCTTATCAGATGTATCATTGACAAATATGTTCTTTCATTCAGTAGGATGACTTTTTGTTTTATTGATGGTTTCATTTGCTGTGAAAAATCTGTTTAGTTTGATGTAATCCTATATGTTTATTTTTTTTCTTACTTCCCTTACTTGAGGGGCTATATCAGTAAAAATATTACTATGGGTAATGTCTGCAAATTTACTTCCTATATTTTCTTCTAGGAGTTTTATAGTTTCAAATTTTACATTTAAGTCGTTAGCTCATTTTGAATTTATTTTTGTATATGGCATAAGGAGGTGGTCCAACTTAATTTTTTTGCATGTGCCTGTCCAAGGCTCATATATCTTAATTCCCAGTAAATGGCTCACCCAGAAGTGGCTCACGCCCTCTAGAGCCACATCGTCGCAGTCGAAATAGAATCCCAGAGAGAGGTAGGTGTAGGAGGCCCACAGATGCAAGTTGACCAGGCAGTTGACGGCGGCTTCCACCTCGGTGGAATAATTTTGACAAAATTGGGAGCTCATGGTTGCTCAGCAGTAAGGAGTTAAGCTCAAATAACGGTGTTAGCTGGTCTTAGAGGCCGAGGATGGCTGAGTTGGTTCTGAAAGTTGAGACTGGAGAAGAGGTTGGAGGGTGGTCGGAGGCTCGAAGAAGGGGCGTCCCTGGGTCTGTTCTGTCCAAACACTGTTGAAGCAAGAGACAGATCCGGGGGACAACCGAGGGAACTTAAATAGTATTTTTCAATGTCAAACTCACGTGAGGGCAAAGCTGTTATTCAGAATTTTTTTTTAAATTTTATTGGGGAATTGGGGAGGGAAACAGTGTTGGGGAATTGGGGAAGGGGAACAGCCAAGTTGTTGTCCTTCAATCTTAGTTGTGGAGGTCTCAGCTAGCTCAGCTCCAAGTCCAGTCACCATCCGGCCATATGTCGGCAGCTCCTGGCAGCTCAGCTAAAGGTGACGTGTTCAATCTTAGTTGGGGGGTTGGGGGGAGGCTCACAGCCCTGCATCCCATGTGAGAGTTGAACCAGCAACCTTGTTATTAGGATGCCTGTCCTGCCACCTGTTGGCAGCTCAGTGGCAGCTCGGCTCAGGTGCAGCTCACTGGCCCATGTGGGAATTGAACTGGTGACCTTGTTGCTCAGAGCTCACACTCTAACCAACTGAGCAACTCAGCTTGCCCCCAGAATTTTTATAAGAATAATTTAAAATAATTCTAACCAGAATCTAAGGAACCACACAATTTTTTGTTATCTCTCTGTTCAGTTGTGTGGGAGCTAAAAATATATATAACTTTCCTCCCATCTTCTAATTTCTTCTAACTGAGCTAATGATCAAATTGCTGCCCGAGAATGAAAGTGTCCTTGTATCATCAAAGGAAGGCATTCCAGAATGTACAAATAAAGTCATGCAAATAAAGCCAAGCAAGCTGAGGATTTATTAAAGTAAAGAAGAACACACTCCCAAAATAATGGGTATGGCAGGCCAGGAAAAAGGGCAACTGCACCAAAGAACAAAGAAATTTAGGATGATATTTGAATGAGGGTATGAAATATTCAGGGGTGGCAACACAAGATTCCCCAGGTGGGTCTTTGCTGACCACTCCTTATTGGGAAGTGGGATTCTCTTGCAGAAACTTTCAAGGTGACACAGAGGGTGGAGATTTTTCCCTGCTTGAAATTCATATGCTACGGGCTTTAGCTGCATCATTTCTTAAGAATGATCTCATCTCCTCTTTCCTTTGTTTCCTGCATTTCCACCTTCCTTTCCTCCTCCCTCCTTCCCTATGACCTGGTGCCCCGTTCTTTCTGTCGACAGTAACAAAATGAACAGAGACAAATTAACAGGAGAAAATGTCCGAAGTTTATGATATGAATGTACATTTGAGGGTGTCATAATGAGACCCCCAAGAAGCATGAGCCGTTGAGGTTTATATAATATTTTGGACAAAGGAGAGGGGTGAGGGTTGTGGGGGGGGTCTGGAATTTCAAAGCAGAAATAGTTAATTCACCAGTAGGCAAGAAAGACTGGAATACCTGCAAACAAACTCCTCTAAGACGATCCAGAAACAATGTGATAGAGGGAAGAATCCAGCAGAACAAGTTTTTGCAGGGATCCTTCCTGTCTACCATATGTTCTTTTTTATAACTTTCTTCTTTTTTAATTAAAATTTATTGGGGTAAAATTACATAGATTTTATGTGTACAACTTTGTAATACATCATCTATATATCATATTGTGTGTTTGCCACCCAGAGTCAGTTCTCCTTCCATCACCCCGTTTACCCTCATTTACCACCCCATCCCCCCTTACCTCTGGTAACCACTAAACTATTGTCTGTGCCCAGGAGTTTTTGTTTATTCATTTGCTTTTCTTGTTCCTTTGTTGCTTTCAGTTTCATATCCCACACATCAGTGGTTCTCGACTTTTTCTGTCTGACAGGTTTTGCTTAGCATAATAATCTCAAGATCCATCCATGTTGTTGCAAATGGCACTATTTTATCTTTTCTGATGGCAGAATAGTATTCCATTGTGTATATATATATATATATATATATATATATATATATATATATATATATATATATATATATATACCACATCTTCTTTATCCAGTCATCTAGCAAAGGACACTTTGGTTTCTATGTCTCGGTCACCATAAATAAAGCTGCAGTGAACATTGGAGCACATATATCTTTACAAATAAATGTTTTCAGATTTTTTGGGTAGACACCCAAGAGAGGGATTGCTGAGTCATATGGTAATTCTATTCTTAATTTTTTGAGGAACCTCCACACTGCCTTTCATAGTGGTTGCGCCAGTCTGCATTCCCACCAACTGTGTATGAGGGTTCCTTTTTCTCCACAGCCTCTTCAAAACTTTTTATTATTTGTCTTGTTTTTGATAGGCATACTAACTGGTGTGAGGTGATATCTCATTGTGGTTTTTATTTGCGTTTTTCTGATGATTAGTGATGTTGGTCATTTTTTCATGTCTATTGGTCATCTGCATGTCCTCTTTGGAGAAATGTCTATTCAGGTCCTCTTCCTATTATTCTTTTTTCCTTTTTAAAAATATTTTTATTGAAACTTAGCCAACATACAATATTATATTAGTTTTGAGTGGGTATTAGGCTAGTCAGGGGGATGGCATCCTAAACCACTATGCTCTCCCCTTTTTTAAATTGGATTGTTTGGTTTTTTGTTGTTGAGTTGTACGAGTTCCTTATATACTTTGGATATTAGCACCTTATTGAAGGTGTTTTTTGCAAAAATCTTCTCCCATTCGGTTGGTTGCCTCTTTATTTTGTTTATGGCTTCTTTTCCTGTGCAAATGCTTTTTAGTTTGATATAGTCCCATTCATTTATTTTAGCTTTTATTTCCTTTGCCTTTGAGGTCAAATTCATAAAATCCCCTTTGAACCCAAGGTCCATAAGTTTACTACCTATGTTTTCTTCTATGCAGTTCATTGTTTCAGGTCTCATGTTTAGGCCTTTAGGTCTTATATTTTGAGTTAATTTTGGTACACATTGACAGATAACAGTCTAGTTTCATTCTTTTGCATGTGGCTTTCCAATTTTCCCAGCACCATTTACTAAAGAGGCTGTCTTTTCTCCATTGTATGTTCTTGGCTCATTTGTTGAAAATTATCTATCCATATTTATATGGGTTTATTTCTGGGTTTTTAATTCTATTCCATTAGTTGTGGGTCTGTTACTCTGCCAATACCATGCTGTTTTGATTATTGTTGCTTGATTATTGTTCAAGCTGAAGTCAGAGAGTTTGATATCTCCAGCATTGTTCTTTTTTTCTTAGGATTGCTTTGGCTATTCGAGGCCTTTTGTGGCTCCATACGAATCTGATGATTTTTTGTTCTATGTTTTTAAAATGCTGTTGGGGTTTGATGGAGATTGCATTAAATCTGTATATGGCTTTGGATAATATGGCTATTTTAACTATGTTGATTCTTTCAATCCATGAACATGGAATGTCTTTCCATTTCCTTGTTGTGTCTTCAATTTCTTTTAAAAATGTCTTGTAGGGGCCAGCCGAGTGGCTCATTGGTTAAAAGTTGGCTTGGGAGCATGAGCTCTGAGCAGCAGGGCCACTGGTTCGGATTCCACATGGGCCAGTGATGCTGCACCCTCTACAGCTAAGATGGTGACCAACAGCTCGACCTGTAGCTGGGCTTCCGTGAATCGCAGGTTACAGCTTAGGCTGCAGTGGGGCTGCAGTGGGCTGCCATAAGCTACTGTGAATGGCCAGCAGCCAGAATGAGCCGCTGGCAACTGGTGTGAGCTGTCATGAGCTGCCATGAGCCACTGTGAGCGGCCATCCAATGGCCTGAGCCGAAAAG